TCGGTATTGATATGATTTGTGTACAAGCCAGTGGGTGGCGATGTGAACACATTGTGATGCAGTGAAGAGGTGGAATCCCGCTTCCTCCTGATCAAGTAGTAGAGCATGGCTTTAAAGGCAAACACTCTTGATTTCTTTCCTTTTGGCCATCGTATCCTTCAAAACCCATTGTAGACTTTGAGTACATTCCCAGCCAGCTCATTGATAGTGGAAGCTGAGGCTGAATGAACTTGTCTCAACAGAAGGAAAACCAACCCTCACCTTGGTAGGTGGCATTGCCTGGCAGACCCCTTCTGGGTTAGATCTGATCAGTGCTTTGATGGGAGATTTCCAGAGAACGTCAGGGCTGTTGGTATATGGGGAAATCAAGAAACATCCGAGAAGATAGCAGTGCCAAACCATTTTTATAGGATTGCCAAGAAAACTGCTTGGATCTGAGCATGAAGTCACCAGCTCAGCTTGAAACATCCCAAGGAAAGGAGGTAGAGCTCAGTGTGACATACTGCTCTGTATCAGCGAATACAAGCATTGGGTATCTGCACTGTGATTTCTTATGAAGGGAGCCAAAACTTTGCAAGAGAATACATTGGAGCCACAGTAGCATCTTAAAATGTGGCTTTTATTTGATAACTGACCTGTGAAATAGTCAGCTATATGCAAAGGAGAAAATGCAGCATTCTTTAAGAGCAACAGAGGAAGAATGCTATTTTTTTTTTTTTTTAAAAAAAGACCAATTTCACTTCACCTCCCCTCCACCCCCTACTCTGTCATCTGTAGTGGTAGAATGTGGCAGCGTTGCGGTAGAATAGTTGCCTTGATGATGCAGGTGCTAAATGGGTAAGGTTTTTACAATTTTTGTTTTCTTTCATAAAATGGAGGCAACCCTGTTCTTAATATCAAAACAAGCCTCTCTGCGGCAGGAAACAGTTCCTGCAGCTGCAGATCAACCAGATAGAGAAGCTAGAAATGAGTCAAGGCGTTGGGGGAGGCTTTTTTTCCCCCTCCTAGTGTTACAGTTATAAACAGCAACAATAAAATTAGTAGGAACCCCCAACATTTGCTCTGCTTTGGGATGCAACAGTTGTTGGGGGAAGCTGACAAAGATTAAACAAACTCTAGTTTGACTTGCCCGGTGTTCCCTTTATGTTTTAAATATAATGAAATAAAGTGGTTGATTAGATCCAAATACTCTTTGATGAAATAGATTAGGTGGTTGCAGTTCAGGTTCAGTTTTGGCACCGAAAGAAACATATATATATATAGGTGTATTTTTCTTTTGTGTGCCATTGAGTCACATTGAGCTGAGCAACCATAAAAATGCTTTAAATGCGTGAACTTTATTGATTTTCCTGGACCTCTCAGCAATTTTCAACACCATTGGCCTGGCATCTTGTTGTCCAGACAAGCTGGGGCTAGAACAGCCTTCAAGTGGTTCTTGCTTATACCTGGATGGCAAATGGTTACCTGGGAGTAGGACTTACCTGGTATCCCTGGTTGTTTTTTGGTACATCTCTTACCATCTTTATTGCCTTTTTATGCCGGGCAAATGCCTTTTATGCCTTAATGTCCCAGGTTTTTAATAACAATACTCTTGTGATATTTTTGACTTTGTGTTGCTGCTTTTTTCTCTCTGTTACTGTGATATTATGCTGCTGATTCAAATATAGAAATTGAATTACAATTTATGTCGTATTAATTGTTTGAATGGTTGCACGCGTAAATTGGTTTTAACTGTTTTAAAATAGGATGTGTTATGTCTATATTTTAAATGAATGTCTATATTTAAAATAGGATGTGTTATGTCTATATTTTAAATTTTAAATGAATAAATGAAGCCATCACTTCTGTGGTGTCCTAAGCATATTAATTGATCACCAGAATACTTGTAAAGCATCTGGATGGGAAGTTATTCTTTAAAGAAAAAAACAAAAACAAAATTTGGCTCCTAGAAAGCTTAGAACTGAAAATGGCTCACCAAAAGACTTATCCTGCCCACCCCCACCCCCACCCCCCGCAGTAGCAAATTTTAAGTCTGAGCATGATAGATGGAGAAAAGTATTAACACAGAAACAGTGATTGTATTAAGGGTATTGCCATTTTAATTAAATTTAAATATGATTCTATTCTCCTCCTGTCATTTCTTTGTCCTGGTCAGGTGTGGTCCCACCCAGCTTGAAACACATTTTGCAGACATGCTTTGAAGACAGATCTATTGCTGAACTTCAGGCTGCAAAGAAATTTCATTTAAAACATTGCAGACAAGTACATGAGGCGTGAAATGTCTAGTTTCATCCCAGTCATAAATAGTCTAAGTTAGAAGTTTTATTTACCTTTTCTTTTTTCACTAAAATCCCTAAAGTGTCCCAACTTGAATCCAGTGTAATGCATTAGCAACATAGCTTTATTCAAAATGATTGGCAGGAGGGACAGAAGCATTGCTGCATCTCATGACTCCTAGGCTATGCTAGCCTGAATAAGGGAATAAAACCCTGAGTGGCCACACTATGCTAAGCCAAAACGTTTGTGTGTGTGTGTATGTGTGTTTTAATCGTATTTTATTAACTATTTTTGAGAAAAGAGAAAAAAGAGAAACAAGAAAAAAAGAAAACCTAGAGTAACTAAATAGTGAATTTACCAACATGAGGGATTTAGATTAAAAAAATTTAATATTTCTTTAATTAGTTTTAAATAACTGAGTATTTAATAGGAAGGGTTAAGTATCCTTATAGCAATTACCCTGTACAAAATGTTGATATACTTAGTGGGAAAGTAAGATTTAGTAATATTTAATTAAACAAATGAAAAGTTGGAAAAGAAATTTAGGTTTATGAATTTGTTTCATTCTGTTATCAATAATCGTTGTGATTGTTCAGCTTGCCACTGAGTATGGAAAACTGATCCAATCTGGTTGTTATTTTACCAACAATTTTTAGAGAGCGAACTGCCCATTTTAGCAAACAATACTGGAGTGAAACATCAGCAATAAAACACCTTATGGCAGTTTTTTTCTAAGTATGTGAATTTAATGGTTTTCTTCCATTGACATTCCTCTTGAAGCATATTAAATATTATATGTAGGATCTTCATCCGTTTAATTACAGCATTTCTAAATTGTTTGGTTTCTGAACATATTTCAACACATAAGGCCCAGCAACTGCTCTGAATTTGCATTAAAAGGTTTTCAAATTCATTAAGAATCTCCAAGTGTTCCCACTCATTTCTGAGATTCTTTTAAATCTTTTCTTGAGATTCTTTTAAATCTATAATGTTTATTTGAAAAGTGAAAATGGTTGGATCATTCTGGGATTTTCAAAGAGTTTCAAAATATTTTCTTCTTAATAATCAGTTCTTGCAGTTTATACAATTTGTTATCTCTCCACTGAGTTTGCTTTCTGTTTATTAAAATAAAATTTTAATAACTAGGTGAGAGATAAATCATTCTTCTCCTGTATTTATCACATTTTTTTAAACACTGTTTATTGCATGATCTCTCTATAAGCCATTTATTCCTGTTTGTATCAGCCCAAAGACATTTGTACAAATGATCTGGGATTTCTGTTCCCTTAATAAAAATAACTCAATCATAAGATGATATGATCCAATCTGTAATCCAAGTTAGACAGTAAGGTGGTTGGAGCTGCTGGACTAAGTTGTTCCTCCAAATTTAAAGTTAAGTACTGTAGTTAACTTAAAATATAATCCTCAATCATTTATTAGTCCACCAAAAATTGTCTCTTTTAATATTTTATTAAATTTAATAAAATAATAAAGTTAATATTTTATTTTCAATTTTTATTGGGAGCATTTGGACAGAAAATTAAACCTTGGCAGAAAGTTCATTTTAATTACTATGATTTCTCTTCATTAATATTGTTTTAACTTTCTCCATCTTAAATATATATCTACTGTTATATTTTTGAAATTCTGTAAAAAAAGTATGTTTAAATAGGACTTTGTTATCAACCTATCTGGGTTTTGGATCTAGAATCCAGTGTTTATACTCTAGATTTGTTTTTATAAACTTAGTCAATTATGATTTATTCAAGAAACCATGTTTAAGCAAACCAAGGCTTAATTTGTTATATGAACATAGCAAAATTCTTCATCTGAACTGTTATTGTTTGAAACATGCTTTTAGCACTGGAACTTAGATCCTTATTCTTTCACATTAAAAACGTAACATCTTAGTTAATCAACAGACTTTGTTTCATTTTATTAACTGATACAAAAGAATAAGACCCCCTTTAAGATTTCTGTCAAATCACCTAACTAAATACTTGCAGATGCAATGTGCTTTCTATACAACATTGTAGAATGAAAGCTTAAAGTGCTGTTCATCTCTCAGCTTCGTCCCCAATATACAGATAGATTTCATTAGGCTGTTGTAAAAGATAACTTAAGTCTAAGCCCAAACTTTGTGACCCCTAATTCCGGAGCCCTTCTGCTCCCATACTCCTCCAACCCTCAGGCTTGCTGGCTGATAGATTATGGGAAAGGCACCTGGGCGAGTCTAGGCTGAAACCTGGTTTAGATAATAGGCTTGACATGACTTGAGGCCTTGAATAGCATCCATTTTCACTCTCACTATGCAACCATAACAATTATTTCCCTCTTTCCCTGAACTAGTTCTAATGAAAGTGTCTGTGTTTTCATTTCCGTTGACTATGGTGACAGAAGCACAGTATGATGCTATTATCAGGGTTCATATTCCAGCACATTTTATGAAAGTTGCCCATCCAACAGTGACATTGTTCCTTTCTATAGTCACCTTGCCTTGATGGAGGACATCAGAAGACTCTGAACGCAATGAAGACCAACCAACATGTGAAGTACAAGCGACCCAGGATTTAACGAGAGCAGCGATGTGATTTGGAAGACAGCTATGTGGGAAAATGTGTCATCATAATTTCCTCTGAATAGCTGCAGTTTCCTTCAGCTCGCCCAATATTTGGAGACAATATGAAAACCCACCCGGATTAATAATTTCCACACAAAGATAAGGAAACACTAACATCTTTATTATGAGGCAGAAAATACGTATTGAAATTTTCTCAAGGCATAGAACAATTTAATATAAAGTGACCAATGAGTCCCTCTGGAAGGAAGAGGCTGAGATGAAGGATGTAGAAACTTCGGAATGGAATGGATCTTCACTGAGAAAGGCCTGCAGCCATACGTAAATCTGTGCTTGGCTGGTAAGGGAGTGAATACTGCTGTAGCGGGTAATGCAATTAGAGACCTACAAAGGAAATAAATTTAGATGTAGGGATATAGTCAGCAATGACCATCAGCACATGGCTGCCTGTCACTTAAGTATATGTCCCAAATAAGACATCTCAGAGTATGTTTACTGTATACCCAACACCTATCAGGGCCTTTGCTATACAAAGGTGGGATCTGCAGTTCACGTTAAACTATAATGTGGTTTAATTACTCTTAGTGGGACTCCATCACCATAATTTATTGGCTTAGTATGCTGTGTGAGTAAAGTCATTTGTGGCTTAGTCAATAAATTATAATTAAACTATCAATGTGATGTTTCAACGGAATCAAAAAGTTGTTCTTGGTTAACCAAGAAAGTTGTCTCTTACCTTTTTTCCTATAGAACTTGTAGACGGCCAAAATAACACTGTAGACCAAGCTTTTGGCCCCTAGTAGGAGGAATATAAAGTGTCCTGCATAAAGGGTGAGTTGAACCTCAGAGATACCTGAAGGTGATTCTGAAGAAAGAAGGAAAGAAGAGGTTGCGGTTGTTAACAGAAGCTAGCGGCATTGCTTGCCTTAAGGAGACATTTCAGGCTGATATTTTAATACCCCCCCTCCCCCATTCAGTTTGCAAAGCTTGCAACCCAAATGTTTTGAGTTGGGACTTTTTTCATTTCATTCCACAGAATCCTTTCAATAAATAAGCAACAGATTTTGGCCAGTCCTCTTGAAGAGTTCATGCAAAAGTAGCAAATTGTGCATTTTAAAATGTGTTTTGTTACTGATGTTTCTAGGGGAAATTGTTTGCAGGATTTTTGCCTCAGCCATTTGCCAGAGAAATTTGGTTGTTGGGGACTATGCAGAGACTATTTCTCTCCCTCTCCCTCTCCCTCCCTCCCTCCCTCTATATGTGTATATGGCAGTGGAGGTCGTGGGTTGCCATAAGTAAAACTCAGGCCAGCTCTGCTCAACCCTCTTCCTTGTAAAACTGACTTTAGACTGATGATCCAATAACAAACAGCCCTTTGGTTGGGGGGAAGCAGATGTGCTTGACCACCAGTAAATCAATCTCCAAGGCCCAGAAAGGTTTTCTCTTGCAGAAAGGAAGAAGAGGAAGCCATTTTCCAACCATGTCTTCCTGATGACAGAACTCAGCCAGCTTATTCATTCCCCTGCCGCTTGCTTAGTTGCCCGGCATTTCCTTACCTGTCTGGTGGTCTGGACTGCTCTTCACCGAGTCACCCACCTCCTGCCCTATTTGGTTGACATGGCAGGAGTAGTTGTGGCCTTTCTGCCACTCCTCTGCCAACACGCTCAGGCGACTGGCAGTGGCGAAGTTGCACTTCTCTTTTTGCTGGACTGGCTCAGTAGCAAAGGAGAGCCGGTTAATCTTTTCGCCATCACGCTCCCAGATCACATCCAGGGGCCACTCGTAGTGGAAGCCCTGGACCAGGCACACGAGGGTGATGCGCTTTTTGTGGCATAAAGGGCTCAGGAGAACGACGCTTGGTGACGGCTGATCGTCACAATTTGGATCTGCAGGAGAGAAGTAGCCCGTGTTTTGCCTTTACAGACAGACTTAACCTGTGATTAGAAGCAAGACTCAGGAATGAAGCATCCTGTCAAGGAAGAAAGGTCCCTTCTCAGTCTTCAAGCCCTCCAAGAAAGACTTGGGAGTGGCACCAGATATTCCAGAAATCGTGGACGCTCCATCACTGGAAGTTTTTAAAAAGAGACTAGACAATTATCTGACTGAGATGGTATAGGCCTTTCTGCTTGAGCAGAGGGCTGGACTAGAAGACCTCCAAGGTCCCTTCCAGCTCTATTCTATTATAAGTCCCATAATCCTCTGGAGGGCACGAAGCTGGAGAAGGCTGAACTTCGGTTTAATTATGACACTTGCTACCACTTGGATGGATGCTTTTACTAAGCAGATCAATTAATGCCAATGGTACCCTTGCATCATATTAATGAATAGGATGACTAATAAGGTCTCTGGTTTTGGCTCCAGTGTATTTTCAAAATTGGGCTTGCTTTTAAGACTGTTTATACTAAAGCATTCCTTAGGTGAACATTTTTCTAGATATTTTTTTAAAACTTTAAAGTAATATAAATAGGCCAAGCAAATGCCAACAACAGTGAAATAAACTAGCTCAAGACTCGGTTGGGGGTCCCGTGATTTTAACTGTTGAATATGAAGTGTGGCCTTGTTACTGTTTTGTTTTTAAAGCTGCTTGTATGATGTAGTTTCTCTTTATTTGATAACCCTTAAAATGAACTGAGAGACAGATTGCAGTGACTAAGACATTAGGTTAGAAACCAGGAGACCATGAGTTCTACTCCCACCTTAGGCACAAAGCCAGTTGGGTGACCTTGGGCCAGTCATTCTCTCTTAGCCCTAGGAAGCAGGCAATGGAAAACCTCTTCTGAAAAACCTTGCCAAGAAAACTGCAGGGACTTGTCTGGGCAGTCACCAGGAGTTTTTTTTTTTTTTTTAAATGACTCGAAGGCATCCCACCACCAAAAAGCATCAGTTCAATTAAATCAGCCTTCCCTAATTAGCAACCAGCCATGTGCCTTGGACTACAGCTCCCAACAGCGGGAACATTATGGGGAGTATAGTCTAAAAACTCTACTACATCTGAAAAGCAACTGGTTGGGAAAGGCACCATTATTAAATCTATCTGAAGGGGCGAGGGCTGCCTCCGAGTTTGAGTTGTCTTAAAGCAGGGCAACTTGGAAGCCTCCAACGGCCCACTTCCAGGCCAGATCTCAGCGACCAGCTGGCCAAAGCTGCCCCTCGCCTGCTCTTTCCAGCTCCGCCGGGGACCATCAGCCTTTCCCAACCAAAGCTCTGGTAGTTCTCACAAAGGGAGGACGGGCGACTGCTCGGAAGGACGTGCTGGCTTGTTTTCGGGAACGCAGAAATCTAGGGTTGCCAGGTGTCCACTATTTGAGTGGACAGTCCACTTTTTTTCACATTATGTTCACTATTTTTTTTCACAAAATAGTGGGCATTTTTTTTTATTCAAAAGCTTTATGATGAAATGGTACGTAATCTAAAGCTGTACAGTCTACTTTTTTTTACTACTTAACCCCCCCCCCCCCCGGCTTGTCCGCTATTTTTTGGAAGCAGACCTGGCAACCCTACAGAAATCCGATCCTATCACAGGAGGGCTGCCTCTTGCCCAGCTGGGGATGGAGTTTACCCTTCGCCCAAGTGGACTGATCCGGGACGTCGCTGACCCTCCCCTTGGCCCGCTGCACCGGCAAAGGCAAGCGAAGAGCCCTTCTGCTGCCCCTGAAAACCGCCTGAGCAAGGGGAGGGGGGGAGGCTCGCTCCCGCTTCTCCTCTGCCGCTTCCCTACCCCCCCCCCCCCACGTTTTGATGAATCCTCCAGCCCAGAGGTAGGCAACCTCGGCTCTTTTATGACTCGTGGACTTCAACTCCCAGAATTCCTGAGCCAGCTGTGCTGGCTCAGGAATTCTGGGAGTTGAAGTCCACGAGTCATAAAAGAGCCGAGGTTGCCTACCCCTGCGCGGGACCTTCGTGGCGGGAGCCCAGCGGGTGCCTTTGGCGCTCTCTTCGCCCGTCCGACGAGAGGCGAGGGCGGACTCCCTGGGAAAGAGGAGGAAGCCCTCGACTTTGCCTCCCCACTGCGCAGGCGGCAATGGAAGACTTCCCCCCCCCCCCGGCGATCTGACCCTCTGCCGCTCCCCGCCTCGGACCAGCCCAGAGTCGCTCCCTGGTACCCCCCCCACCGGGGGGAGTTGGGAAAGAGCAGGCGAAGCGGGCCGCTTTCGGACTCACCTGTGACGAGGACCTGCGTTCCGGTGGGGGCGAAGTGAGCTTGTTCTCACAGCGCTGCAGGCTTTCCGGGCGCCTTTGCAAAATCTTCCCGGCTCTTCCCGAGCCTTTGGCGGCCAGCGTCGCCGCTCCCCTTCGCCCGCCGGGCTTGCCACGTCCAGACGAGCCGGGCTTAGTCGCCGTTCCGTCCAAAAGGGGGCAAGACGATGAGCTCCGCTCGGCCGAGGACGTCGCAAACGCTCAGCCCGGCGAGAGGGCGGCCGGCGAGCGGGAGCCCTCGCTTCTCATTCGGGAGCCCGCCAAACGGGCCTGCGCCCCAACGCCTAGTTCGGCTCCCTCCGACTTCTTCTCCCGGGACCCGACCTGGGATCCGAACCCTTTTCCGCGGCTCCTAGCAGCCCCCACCCTAGTCCCTTGCCTGGGCAGAGTATCAGACGCGCCTTGTATCACCGTGCCCCGTACTGTACACAGTCAGACGAGGCGCGGCAAAAACTTCCTTTCACTTTTTTGCGGGCAGCCCCGAACGTCCAAATTGCACCCAGACAGTGTTTCTCAACCTTGACAATTTTAAGGCACGTGGACTTCAACTCCCAGAATTCCACAGCCAGCATTGCTGGCTGTGGAATTCTGGGAGTTGAAGTCCACGTGCCTTAAAATTGTCAAGGTTGAGAAACACTGAGAGTGTTAATTCACGCTCCCTTCTCCGAGGCTCGACGGTCTCTGGATATTAGGCGTTTCGGAGACCGACCGCTGGCCCGGGGCCGGGGGCTGGGCTGTCCTCCGATCCGGGGGCCAACTCCTAAGCGACTCAGGTGTTCTCATTTCTCCTACCGTCCCCCAGCTTGAAATCGCCGATTTCCATTTTTAAATGCAATGCTGCCCCCCCCTCGCCCCCTCCAGCTTCCTTCCAACTTCTGGGATTGGGGATTGGGGATTGAGATTGGTCCCCATCAGCCGCCCACAGGATGCTGATCAAAAAGTGTTCGCCTGCGCTACTGTATTGTGGCTATATTTTTTCCCTTCAACTTTTGCTGTAAACCCCCCCCCCCAAGTCTCCCTCAGTAAAATGGTGGGCAGGGCACTGAGGTGACAGGCCCACCAAGTGGACAATGCGGTGAGTGGAACTAGATGGGCTTTAACCTGTGGAACCAATCCCTGGTCTGAGAGGGCCATGGCAGGGCTCCTGCCTCCTAAGTAGAGCATCCACTCCAAGCCCACAGGCTCAGAAGCAGCAACACCAGGTGCCTCATCATACTTGTAGATTAGAGGTCCCCAACCTTTTGGGCACCAGGGACCGGTTATGTGGACAGAGGTTTTTCCATGGACTGGAGGGGATGTGGTTTTGTGTGCTGCCTGCATCCCGCAGATGGGGCTTTGCTTGTTTGTGCAGCCTGGTTGCTGGTATGCCACGGCCCGGTGCCGGTCCATGGCCCGGGGGTTGAGGACCCTTGCTGTAGATGATGAGATCATGCGGATGATGCTGATGGCAGTTTGATCATCATCATTGCTGAAATATTGAATCATATCGAACATTAGACTCATAGGATACAAGGGTTGGAAGATATCTGGGAGCACTTGTAGTCCAGTCCCCTGACCAATTCAGAAATCCCTTCAGTCTCCTCAGCAAATGGCTATCCAAACTTTAGGTACATCAAATCCCAACACTTGTCAGTTCCATGTCTGAGAACAGCTCTCAATTATCTGGAAATTTTTCCTGATATCCAACTTAATTTGACTTGTAATTAAAATCCCTTGTCTTTTGTCCTGTCTTCTGAAATAACTTTGAATAATTCTGCCCTGTCTTCAACATGACAGTCTTTCAGATGCTTGTAGACAGCTACCATGTCTCATCCCCATCTTCTCTCTAGAGTCTAGACAAACATATTCAATGCTACCAACAGGTTCTTATTCATGGGGTGTTTTTTTTCTTCCTATCATTTTACTGTGGACATGCTCCAGTTTGTCAGTGTCCTTTTGAAAATAGGGGCCCAGAATATTCTAGGAGTGGACAGACCAACAAAGAACAGGGTTTTCTCTTGATTATATTTCTGCTGGTGCAGGATTGAATTTGCTGTTTCTCACAACTGCAACATACTATTGACTCATGTTGTTACACCAAGACACCCAGATTTTTTCTGCATGTTCTGTTGCTTCTATTCATGCCTTTAGTTTTTCATACCCAAATAAAAAAGCTTTACATTTGTTCCAGATGAAATGCATTTTATTTGTTTCTAACCATTGTTCTAGTTTGTTATTAAATATCTCTCAACAGGGAGAAAGCAAAAGTACTTAACTTGTTTTTTGCATCCATCTTTACACAAAGGGAAAAACAGTCCAACCCATCAAAAACAGTACAGTAAAAAACAGATTAGAAACACAAGTTAAGATAGGCAAGAAAATGGTAAGTGAGCACCTGTTCACGCTAGACGAGTTCAAATCATCAGGACCAGATGGATTATACCCCAAGGTTCTGAAGGAACTAGCAGATGTGATCTCAGAACCATTGAACTATATCTTTCAAAGATCCTGGAGCACTGGGGAACTACCAGAGGACTGGAAAAGAGCTGATGTAGTTCCCATCTTCAAAAAAGGGAAAAAAATAGATCCAGGAATGTACAGACCTATCAGCCTGACCTCAATACCTGGGAAAATTCTGGAAAAGATAATCAAGCAACAAATCAGCAAACACTTAGAGGCAAACAAAGTCATTACCAGAAGCCAACATAAGTTTGTCAAAAACAGATCATGCCAGACATGCATTCTTTGGCGAGGTGACAAAATTAGTGGACCAGAGGAATACTGTGGATATAATTTACTTGGACTTCAGTAAGGTATTTGATAAAGTAGATCACAACCTACTACTTGATAAGATAGAAAAATGCGGGTTAGACAGCATCACCACCAGATGGATTCGTAGCTGGCTGACCGGCCGTACTCAGCGTGTGGTCCTCAGTGGAACTGCATCTACATGGAGGGAAGTGTGTAGTGAGGTGCCCCAGGGCTCTGTTCTAGGCCCAGTGCTCTTCAACATCTTCATCAATGATTTGGATGAGATAGATGGGGAACTCATCAAATTTGCAGATGACACCAAGCTGGCAGGAATAGCCAACATTCCAGAAGATAGGCCTAAGATACAGAAGGATCTTGACAGACTTGAACATTGGGCGCTATGTAACAAAATGAAATTCATTGGTGAAAAAAGTAAAGTTCTACATTTAGGTAAGAAAAACCAAATGCACAGATATAGTATAGGTGCTACCTTGCTCAATAGTAGTAACTATGAGAGGGATCTCGGAGTCCTAGTGGACAATCACTTAAATATGAGCCAGCAGTATCCTGCAGCTGCCAAAAAAGCCAACACAGTGCTAGGTTGCATTAACAGAGGGATAAAATCAATATCACATGAAGTGTTAATGCCACTTTATAATGCCTTGGTAAGGCCACACTTGGAATACTGCAGCCAGTTTTGGTCATCACGATGTAAAAACGATGTTGAAACTCTAGAAAGAGTACAGAGAAGAGCAACAAAGATGATTAGGGGACTGGAGGCTAAAAGATATAAGGAACGGTTGCTGGAATTGGGTATGTCTAGTTTAACGAAGAGAAGGATGAGGGGGGACATGATAGCAGTGTTCCAATATCTCAGGGGTTGCCACAAAGAAGAGGGAGTCAAGCTATTTTCCAAAGCNGCCAGCGCCCGGGCCAGGGAGTCAAGTAGTGGCCTAAAACCAGGCCCCATCACCAGGCCGCCGGAGATCTTCCCGGCCAAAGTTCTTTCCGACCACCCTAGTCCTTTCGAACCGCCCGGGTCCCTCCAAGCCGCCCGAGTCCCGGTCACGGCCCAGGCCCTCCCACCGAATACGGGCCGACTCGGGTCGAGGACGGGCCAAAAACGGGCCGGGCGGACTAGAACAAACCCGAGGGGGGGGGTCCCCAGGCCTCACCGCCAAGGGTTTCCTCCCTGAGCAGGGGTTGGATTAGATGACCTCTAAGGTCCCTTCCAACTCTATTATTATTATTATTATTATTATTATTATTATTATTATTATTATTATTATTATTATTGTTGTTGTTGTTGTTGTTGTTGTTGTTGTTGTTGTTTCTAAGATAGGGGTTCTTAAACCTTTTGCCGTTATACCTCCCTGTATCTTAATATACAGACCTCCCTTTAAGCTCTAAGCCTTAATAATATATCAACACAAAAGAATGATGAAAACAGTTCAATAAAACTTTGGGAAGCAAGGATTTATTGTAACAATGTACAACAAAAATGTTCTTACCCCTCCCCTGCACTCTGTCTGAACCTCCCCAAACTGTGAGGTACACCTCACAGTTTGGAAAACCCTGCTTTAAGGTATTTGCTCTCTTCCGGTCTTTTTGTCATCTGCCAATCTGATAATATTATGTTTTAACTCCTAGAGCTAATGTTCGATCAAGTATGTTTCCAAGTAATAATAGTTTAGCACAGTCACATTATGCCATTTTCTTTATTAAAATCACATTGAAGGCTCTGTTAAATGATTGACTGAAGTCAAGATATACTATGTCCACTGCATTTTTATGGTCAACTAACTGGTTACTGTCAAGAAAGTTTGCACTCAGCTCCTCTCCCCCTCCCCACTTTTGGAACAGCATTTATTCCTTTCCTTGTCTGGCAATATATGTGGTTCAAATTATTGTCAAAGATCACAGAGAAATGACAGTCTACAAGTTCTGTTAGGACTTTTGTCTTAGAAGTTTAACTTTTCATGGTAACCTGGTGCTCCCTCACTACTAAAGAATGGAAACTAATCAAGGAGAGAACCAACCTAGAACAAAGGAGAAATTTCCTGACAGTTAGAACAATTAATCACTGGAATGTCTTTCCTCCAGAAGTTGTGGGTGTTTCAACACTGGAGGTTTTGCTGGAATTGGGTATGTCTAGTTTAACGAAGAGAAGGACGAGGGGGGGACATGATAGCAGTGTTCCAATATCTCAGGGGCTGCCACAAAGAAGAGGGAGTCAAGCTATTCTCCAAAGCGCCTGAAGGCAGGACAAGAAGCAACAG